GTGTCACCGAGGAAAATAAAAAACGCCCATTGATAGAGAAAACCAAACGTGGAGACAACATTTTAAATTTAGGTACTTTTATATTATTGAGAAAAAAAATCAAGGCAAATGGTTTCTTACAAACAGCAATCAGGTGGTTGAGTTAGTATCTGTTGCAAATGTTAAAAATAGTCATACACAGGAGCAAAACAAATTAAATACGTGGTTATGTTGTTAAACAAAGTCAAGATGCATTCGAAGAACCACTAAAATCATCCTTTTTAAATATATATCAATGTAATTATAATGAAATCAACAACAAAAGGAAGGAAGAAGTTTTAAGAATATCAAATGTAAAATGTAAACTTGTCAGTGTTTCATACGGGACAAAAATGTTTTTTGTGCCGCCATTACATACTTTGTGAGATAGTATTTTCTATGTGCATTACGTAATAATAAATAAAAAGCGATTTTTTGTAGTAAATTTTTATTTCAGTCTGTTAAAACAATTTCGATAGGTTAACTATTTAAGTAAAGCATTTCTAATGTTAACATTAGTAGCGGTGCTACTTTATATTAAAATGTAGAGTCAGATAATTATCAGTCTTATCATTTTATGTTTGAATTATATTCGTTAGATACTTACTTAGTCTTCGTGGCCCAGTCATTAATAATATTTTAGTCTTTTATTCTCTTTTCAATACAAAATAAGTATAAGCAATGACTAGATATAATTATGATTCTGAGCGAGTAAAGTTAAGTTGGTAATACTTAAAGTTCAATGTTTACACATACACACAACATATTATAGTAGTATACTTTTTGCGTTTTTTTCAAATTATAACGACTATTACCTACTTAACTTTACTCGCTAAGTATCATATTTATATCTAGTCATTGTTTATATACTTATTACAAATTATATTGGATATATAGCAGGTTCGGCACACGGTTGCTTTAGTTCCACATGTTCGTACTACCTATTCATCAACTTTTACTATAATACCAAGTCCGTAACTAACCAAATCTATTCTGTCTACCGGCACATAGAAGAGCTACCTGTTCTGCGCCTTTTTAAAGACTAGGTATTGTACTACTACAATTACAAGCATGTGAAATTCCCACCTACCTACCTACCAACCGTGTTCTGTACACCATACATAAAATATCGAAAAATAAAAATACTCGGGAACTATAAAATAAAGAACTAGGTAAATACTAAGTCTCTTTTTATATCAACAAAACTTATAACTACGACAAATGATAATCAATGGCACGGTTTTCAGTTACATAATTTACTTCTCCAACTAACAAAACATATCACTACTTCTCTCATTAACAAAACATACACTTATACACAAAATTATTGACTCAATTATTACTCTCTACAAAATTATAGCACGTTTTTCAGTTATTTAATTTACTTCTCTAACTAACAAAACTTATCACTATTTCTCTCATTAACAAAACTTATACACTTTTAAGTACACAAAATTATGGCACGTTTTTCAGTTATATAATATACTTCTCCAACTAACAAAACTTATCAATCAAGTACATGTTTATTTTTTACAACAGTTAACTGCTTACTACTTAGTATGTACATACTGTTAATTAATGTTTAGTAAAACGTATAGTAGATACTAAAACGTTCTATACTTATACCATAATATGAGCATAGTGCAAGTACAAGTAAGTAAACATTATGTATTGTATGGGTGGAATCATGTATGTAACTACCTATGTAATAATTAATGACATAAAGACATAATAATTTTGACTACGTCAGATTAGGTTTAGCTTTAATTTTAGAAAATTACCAAATTCACATTCGTCACTGGTGAAGTGGTCATAAACTGAGAAGAATTTGCAATTTTTACACCAAAATTTATCTTCTTTTAATAATGATCTTATGTGTTCTTCCTCCATAACAAAATGAATTGGTCGTCCTCCAGAGTATTTTGAAATTCTATAGCCACAGCCATGACAATGGTGAGACAACATGAAATGTGTTACGTTCCAAGGCCATCTTCTAGTTTTTAAAGCTTGAAAATCCTTTTTAGTCATAAAACGGTCGACGTCCATAAACACTACCATCTTAGATTCAGTGGTTGACACCTAAACATAAAAATACTATGTGAAACTACACAAACAAGTTTTTATTAACTATTCAAGAATTGTTAAAATTATGCAATAATATGGTTATTGCATAATTTTATCTTGAAATCTTCACTTTGACACTGGCAGACAGTTTACACTGCATTTATATCACTATTTGAAGTAATTGTAAACACATTTTATTTCCTACTTGCTAATGACATGTATACCTAACGATAATTTAGGAACATTATTTTTGGTCATTACAAATGGTCGCTATAATATAGCGACTTACTATGTTAAGTACTTAACATATTATGTTAAGTAATAATCCATTCAAAATCAATGGGTTATAGTAATGTTTGTGGAACCCTAATTCTGAACATGGCGTATTACTTGATCTATATTATTTATAATGCAAACTTTTTTGAAACCAAATACGTTTATAATGGCTCTGTAATGAACTTCAGAGAACTAGGTACATAAAAATGGCGATTTTGACAGTAAGCCTTATTAAAATCAATATTATTTTGAAATGCACCTTATTATATACGCTAATTTCAAAAGGCGAGTAAAAATTTTAATTGGAAACATCATATACTTCACCAAAAATATATGTTTGCCACCCGAACGCATGTATTGTATTGTATGACAGTGTAACTTATCATAAAATAAAAATCGATGAAATAACTTACCTTAATATTTTAGGGGCATCAACGCCACGCACCACAGTTGACACATTCACAACTAATTTTGAAGAGCTTGTAATATCAGCCCGAAGTACATTAAAACCGTGTATGGTTCTTTAAGGCGCTGTTGGTTGACTTCGTGGGGAGCAGTTAGTGTCACGTGTTCCCACTATAAGGAAACTATTCGTCTAAGCGGTAGTCACCAAGTATACTATGGGTGTCTTAAAACAAAAAGTACGCCTATAAAATGGACCCTTTTCCGTGGTTATAAGAGTCTACTAGTCCATTATAATCGTGAAAAATAGTGGTCCCAGGATAATTATAAAACCCACTTTTTGTTGCTTGGGTGAAATCCATAAATGTGTGCGGAAATAGAATGGGCGTGGCGAAAAACGGAACTAACATTAAGATTTTTATTTGGCAATCAAACCCAGCAATCTGTAAATCGTCAAAGTTTTGTATTGATACGGATTTGTTTGTTGTTGTGATTTCTTGTGGTTTTTTGTATTTAATCATGTCTAAAAGGGGTAAAACTTTACAAATACGGTTGAAAAGCACTACAGCGCCCTCCAAACCAAATCCCATTCTCTTTCCACACAGACTCTATTAAATAATTGACATTTGTCTAAAATCCATAAATGTGATATCGTACGTGAGATTGCATTTTACATTATACCCATGCTGTACGCTTAGCATGAACCAATATCTAATTCAAATAGTTGAATTCGATCTCGATACGCGTCAAATGTCAAGAACTTTTGTATGTAGGTAAGTTTTTTAATGAAAATATTCTAAGGTAACAATCTAATTACATAATTACTCTGTATACATATATACTAGAACAATAAAACTAAAACTAAAAACATTAAAAAATAAAATTAATAACTAAAATATATTATTAAAAGGAGCCCCTTTAGGCAAGGAACCGAAGATACTGGCAGCGTTCCCCCTTTGGATAGCTAGACTAATTCTTTGTCCGAGGTAGCTGCCAGCTGTTCGGTCTCCTGTGATGTCGACTAACCTTTTTGCTATTTAGTTTTTTTGAGGAGCTCGATGGCGCAAGTGGTTAGCGCGTTCGGCTGCGATCGTTGAAGTTAAGCAACTTCCGCAGTGGTCGGTCATTGGATGGGTGACCAAAAATTTACTATCTCGAGCTCCTCCGTGCTTCGGAAGGCACGTTAAGCCGTTGGTCCCGGCTGCATCTGCAGTCGTTAGCACCCACCAATCCGCACTGGGCCCGCGTGGTGGGTCATGGCCCAATCTCCCTATTCCATCCATAGGGAAGGCCTGTGCCCCAGCAGTGGGGACATTAATAGGCTGATGATGATGATGAATTTAATTCTTGTAGTGCCACAACTGTATATCCGTTCAAATATCCATACAAAGCGTCTTGACATTTGACGCGTATCGAGATCGAATTCAAGTAAGCTATTCGAATTCGAAATTGGTTCGTGCTAAGGGTACCGTACCGCAAGCAAGAACTTTGACAGCCTCGTATTCGTATTGCCAACAACGGTATTAAATACCCTAGATACACCAACACGAACAAAATCGTGCCCGAAACCTGTCCAAAAGGTACATTGAACGATCCACGGAGCTCCGCAAGATGATCGCGTAAGCAAAATCTATATAAATAAATAAAATAAATAATAAATTTTATTTATTTTATATAGCATCGCATATAGCAATAAGTAGTAAAATTTTACGACTTATTGCTGTATGCGGAAGAATTTAAGTTAAAAATTTGAAGTTCTTTGACTCTACGCGTAATTCTGAACGCGCTGTTAGCAATATAGCAGGCACGGACCACGAGGAAAAGAGACGGCTATATGGCGATGTATAACCGACCATGCATTTGAATAACACAAATATTTTATATTAAATCAGTTTATAGTAAAATTAACAAACATATCAGATATCTGTCGAAAAAACGACACTTTTCGTACTCTAAGTATTATATTCGCATTTTTCGCGGAGCTCTGTGGCATCTTGACTTTGTAACGGTCCGCGCGTGACTGTGAATCAAGAAGTGCTTGAGTGGAGTTCAAGCACTTCCTGATTGGGTATATTTTGAACGCTCGTGGTGTACCTAGGGTATTTAATATCGTTGGCTTAAAATACAGTACTGAGCGGGCGTGGTGGGACATGTTCACGGCCCATTCTCCCTATTCCATCCATAGGAAGGCATGTGCCCCAGCAATGGTGACATTAACAGGCTGTTGATGACCTACCTACCTGATCGAATCTCCAATCGCCGATCGAATTGTCTCGATTCTTCTCGACTCTTCCATGCGATTTGCACTTTCACTTCCCAATACTGTCACTTCACTAACATGTCACTTACACTTAACACTTTACAATTTACATGTATGTACACTTATTTACAAAATGGCAATTTAATTTCGGAGTGTCTATCTAAGTTAGTTTTGCTTTGTAAGTTTGACTTAATGAGATTGAGGATTAATTTAATTATTTTAATTGAGGGTTTTCTGTAGTTGAATATAAGTCGTCGCTGTCTTTTGCTGGTGATATTTGGTCCCCTGCAACAAATAACAAAACAATTTATAAATTATTTATATTCACCTTCTCAGTTTAAGATTTCAAAAAAAAAAAAACTATAGAATATCGTTTATGCAGTCTAGGCTGTTACAAGCACTTGTGAATGTCGAAAAGCTACGACATCGGTTCGCAAATCTACGGCGGGAGACCTTGTACTGAGAAGAACCTGCAAGAAACTCAGCAAGGGCTGGCATTTTCTCCTTGTATTTTATACAGAGTCGTCAAATTGAAAAATGACTTCAATATGAGATAACTCATGAAGTTACTTTCCATTTGTATATAAACATCACTTGAGTGTCCCAGCGTACGTACGTTGCGTATTTAGGATCTTTGCGTATCTAATCTAAAGTACGCTGCGTTATTCGGATGTCTTATCTGAGTACGCAACGTACGTACGCACACACCAAAGATAAACTGTTTTTTAAAAATACTACAATAGGCTAGTTGACTCATGTCGAATTATACAAAGTATTTGGTCTAAGGAAGGAAGGTATGTCGATTTCACTTCATAAAACAGAAGATAGCTGTAGAAATTTAATTAAAAAAAAAATTTAGTCTATACTTTTTAAACACTAAAAACGCTGTTCGCCACGTCCCCCATGATTGTGACGTCTCTTTGGTAGTAAACAAATGTCATTCGCGTGACGTCATAGCATAGATAATCTATAGACTAAAATGGCCGACAGCGTTTTTGTATGTCCATGAAAATTCTATTTTTAAAGATTTGTAGCTTTCTAGGTCTCAAGAAAATACATAACATTTTTTTTCGGTCTAATAGAACATTTATTAACCATTTAAAACCTTTTTCCAAGAAGGGTCAGCTAGCCTATTGACCTAGCCCCCAACCCCCATATTAATAAACGCGGAATAAGCTATGACTAGTTACGCCGTGTTTAATTCGTATCAAGAGAGTGCACCCTACGCAGTAATGATGATACGACCATTAACTCTGACGTAGAAGTGCCATTATAATTCAACTAGCGGCCCGCCCTCTCTTCGCTTCGGTGTAGAGCTGAAGTGTAGACTACAGTTTTTGTTCCCAGGCTTGTATTATACAAAATTGACAAAATTTCATACAAACTTTCATTCCCTATTTTATCCCCTTGGGGGTAGAATTGATCAAAATCCTTTCTTAGCGGATGCCTAAGTCATAACATCTACCTGCATGCCAAATTTCAGCCCGATCCGTCCAGTGGTTTGGGCTGTGCGTTGATAGATCACTATGTCAGTCAGTCAGTCACCTTTGAGTTTTATAATATAGATGAACAGAGACAAAAACATAAAGTAACTAATCCAAGCTTATTCTTTGTTTATTAATTAGGGAAAAGTGAGCACTGGACAAAGATAATAAGGATGACCAACTTCTTTTTCTTCGTCCATAAGGTAGATTATTAAAGAGTATTTATTGGACACGTGTTTCTTCTTTATCCCCATAATCAAAACATTACAAAGATACATTGATATGAAATATGTTTACTTAGAAGAGACGGCACGATACCCCACTCCACACAATAACACATGCCTTACAGAGCTTACTTTGGGGCTAGGTTATTAGAGATGGTGGAGTACCATGCGGAGACGCGGTGAAATCCCTCGCATGGTTTTTTAGCGGATAGTATGCCGAAAGCGCCCGTAAGCCGCACGGACGGCTTCTACGTTTCGCGCCCGTGAGACTTGCGAGTCTCAATCGTCTCGTCAAATCTATATAATATCAATAAAATTAACAATTTTGATGCGTGATCCAAAGTAGGTTAGTTAGAGTCTGTGCGGAAAGAGAATGGGATTTAGATTGAAGGGCGCTGTAGTGCTTTTCTACCGCTTTTGTAAGGTTTTACCCCTTTTAGACATGATTAAAAAAACCGCAAGAAATCACAACAAAACTTTGACATTTTTCAGATTGCTGGGTTTGATTGCCAAATAAAAATCACAATGTTAGTTCCGTTTCTCGCCACGCCCATTCTCTTTGCGCACAGACTCTAGTTATGGTATTTTTTGTGATGACATTGTACCTTCCTATTGTAGTGAGTGTTAGAAATATTTATTTATTTATTTATGACAGTAGGTACGCATTGCCCTTTCGCTCGTTCACAATCGGCCGATGTGTCAGTTGGCAACAGAGCTGTCTCTAATTGTACGCACGATGTATGGCACGGTGGTGCATCTAACCTCAATGCGGTACAAAAATAGTGCGCTGGCGCATCGGGACCGATCGACAATAATCTAACGTAATAACGATTCAATGTAACAATACACACAGTATTCATATTAAGTTACACTTGTTAGCGAATTATTATTGATGGAGTTCGGCTGCGATCGTTGAAGTCATTTCACAGTTCTTCATAATTGAAGAACGTGGCGTCACTAAGCGCGTTCTATCGTCTGTACCACGGCGAGTGTTCTGAGGAGTTATTCTCTCTTATTCCACCTTCCCCTTTCCTTCAGAGGACCACGCGCGCTGGCTTACGTTGTCACCGTCTAACTGTGGCTACAATTCCAACGCGTACAAAGAAATTTAGTGACTCATTTCTTTGTCGTACTATCCGTAAATGGAATGCTATGCCCCCTCCCTCTTACAACCTGGGATCCCTTAAAAGAGGCGTGAAGAAGCAACATGCAGGCCGGCAGGGCGAGGATGGCTGGTATGGCAGGTAGAACTGCTGTATCAGCATCAGGTGGGGTTGAGGCATTTGTCGGACCTTTCTATAAAAAAAAAAGTTGTAGTTCATTGGTTGGGTGGCCATAAATTTCCTAGTTCGAGCTCCTCTGTGCTTCGGAAGGCACGTCCAGCCGTTGATTCCGCTCGTACGATATTTTGCTGCAGGGAAATGCTGCTGACATTCAAACTATTTTTGTGCTGCAAAATCGGGCTGTTCGATCAATTTATAATCTACTAGTTCTTTTTTAAAGAAATCGATAAAATGACTATTTCATCTCAATACATTTATGAAAAGTAAATGTATAAATAAAATATAACTAGAAAAATCCCACGCAGACCAGGCAGCAGACGGGACTCGAATCCGCACCCTTCGCAATCCGGGCGAATGCACTGACCAATTATGCTACCGCGGCCATAACCGCAGGGTCGAAATTCTTATAGCTATTCTTAAGCTGCAAGGCAGCGCCATCTCTTCGCATTGTAGGTAACCCACAATGTCAAATGAATACTTTTACAACTATTAAATATTTGAAGGAAGAAATAGCTATAATTTTAGTTATAATTTTAATTTTTTAAGCGTGTAACTGCTTGATTTTTAAATCTAAAGAAAATATTACTAGATAAAATTCCACGCGGACCAGGCAGCAGACGGGACTCGAACCCGCACCTTTCGTAATCCGGGCAAATGCACTGACCAATTATAATTTTGCAAATGAACTAAAGGTAGACGCTTAACTGAGTCCTCGCCTGCGGGGTGAAGGGTGTAGGGGAGGACGAGAACGGGGGCCGCGAGAGGAGCGGGCGGCAGGCGCTTGTATATAAACAAGACTGTGCCTGCCGCCCGCGTCCACAGGTTCCACAAGGTTCGTCAGGACTGTATTTTGATACACAACTGCATTCGCTTTTACACCTTTCTCACAAAAATGTACCTCTGTTAAGCCCCAATAAGAAACTCCCACCATGAGCGAGGATGGAAAATGACCTCGTTGGACACGCGGAATACGGTTGCTCTCTTCTTCACTACTGTGTGCGTACACCTTATCATTTTGTTTGTTGTAGCTCTCTTCTACGGTAATTTTTTTTTCATTCGAAAAAAGAATTTCACGATATTTTTTTCTCGCGTACCGCTTCAACCAAGCGCGGCCTCTCTTCAATCTCAGGTCCATTAGACGAGCATTTATACGATGTCCTGTTTTTCTTCGATATGCCTGAAGCCCTAAGTCTTCATTTAACACCCTTTTCACCGTGGTTCTGCTTAACCCCATCTGAAGGGCCAACAGTTTCTGCTTACGTTTGGGATTTCTTTGAATTCCCGCCTTCACAGCTTTTATCACTGCTGGAGTCCTAACAGACCGAGGGCGACCACTTCTTGACCTGTCATCTACACTAGAGTCTTCATTGTATCGTTTGATGGTACGATAAACGAATCTTTTGGGTATATTAAAATTTTTCAGTATGTCAAAAATTTGAATTGGCGCGTAACCGCAGCGATGTAACGCAATAACTGCAACACGGTCTTCTTTAAGCGTCCACTCCATATTTAAAAATGAGTAAAATTCTAAAAAGTATACATTTTTATTTTCATGAACAATTCGAAATTCGAATTCAATAAACTTTTTTGTGGCCAGCATTCTAAAAGAAAAGTTTTTACTGTGTGACAATACTTATGACCTGACTGTGTAGTTATAATTTTTATTTTTCTTAAGCATGTAACTGCTTGATGTTTAAATCTAAGGAAAATATAACTAGAAAAAAAAACGGTCTACCTATAGTTCATTTGTGTTTTACGTACCTACCTATGTTCTGTATTTATTTTCTTAATATTGGAAAAGTTCAGTCTTCCAATTATTCCGATAGTTAAAATTTCACGAATGTTGAAATAGATAAAAAAGGAAGATAACATCAAAAGAGTGCCCGCTTAAGACTATGCTGAAAGACATAAACAGATTGTGTCTGCCATGCAATAAAATTTCTATTGCATGGAATCGAATGTCGACATAGCAAACTCATTCTTATATCATTCGCAGTAGCGTATAAAATGCTTTTAACTGTCACAAAAGAACTGACATCAGAAAGTTCACGACAATATGAACCTTAATACCGCTTAATACGATTCAAAACTAAATTACTTATAAATGACAGTTCTTTTCCTAGCTGTTTATAAAGATTTTTCTGCGGCCATTATTTGGAGGTATACTTTGACTTTTATTGCTCTGTCGATTCATGGATGTTAAAACGAAAAAGTGAATTATGCAATAAGCAGATCGATGCATGGATTTGCTTAACAACGATATGTAAGAAGAACCAGAGACACATCAGACGATA